TGTAACTCAAATCATGCAAGGCAACGTTCAAGAACACACCTGTGACTCCTACTTTTTGTTTTATTGTTTTGGGGTTTTTTTTTGGGGGGGGGGTCTCACAATGTAGCCCAGATTGGCCTCAAACTGGTGTTTCTCCTGTCTCAGATTCCCAAGTGCTAGGATCACAGGTGCACCATTACAATCACAACTGTCATACCAGTGTTACAAAGACAGCTGGTTAGGTGGGCAGATAGTATATCAAGGCCCATGATGACATTTCAATGAAAGAAAAATACAGTAAGGTAAAAATAATTCAGCACTGGTCACCCACAAGACCAGTAGTCCTGGTTCACTTCAGACCTTAAGTCTAAAAAAATGTCTTAAAGAGGGGCTGGTACAATAGCTCAACCTTAAAGAGCTCTGGGTGTTCTTGCAGAGGATCCAGTTTGGTTCCCAGCACCCACATAGCAGCTAATAACCGTTTGTAACTCCAGTTCCAGGGAACCCAACACCATCTTCTGACCTCTGTGGGCATTTTGCAATATGGGTGCACTTAGATGCATGCAGGCAAAACACTCATATACAAAATAAAACAAATTTTAAAAAAAGTTTAGTATCTCAAGGGGCCTTTAAAACACAGCCCACCATCCATTTGAAAACTGTACATTGGATGGCAGGTCTGAAAAAACTTGATTTTTCAAGTACCTTTTCATGCAAGTATACAGAAAGTTCCCCAAAGGCAAAGGTCTCTTTCTTTGTAAAGGCTCACACACTGCCTAGTGCAAGTTCAGCTTCCTACAGTGGTGCCCACTAACTGCTGCCTGGCTAGATTTTGTTGCTAGAAGCTAGTTCTTACAAACTAAATGAAATCAGATTAAAAAGGAAACAACAGTTCAGTGAAGACTCCCCTTGGTTAAAAAAAAAAAAAAAAAAAAGTGAAAATGATAGTTGATTTTCATTACGGATCTGATATTGCAACAATGGCAAAAGCAGCAAATATTTTCACTAATAAAGTAACCTTGAGACAAAGACCAAAAGCCAAGACACACAAGTATCTAGGTTTGTTCCTATGGAAAGAGCAAGATACATCTGAATAAGGGCACAAAAGTTTGCAAACAAAAATGCTTGACTACATTTTAATCTTTTGTTCTAAGAATTTTTTTTTCATTTGAATAAAAGAAGACTGTATATGTTCCCAAACAACAACTGTAACCAAGCATGACATTCCCACTCAGATTCTGGAATATTTCATAAATAAAAATGTTTTAAAGAAAGTAAAGAAAAGAAAAACATCACTGCCTTAAAACCAACGGTTCTTCCTTCCTGGTCACCACACTTGTGGTTAATATGGTACATCAAAGAAGTGGAATTTCTTTGCCATCTTGAAACAGCTCATTTTTCAATAAAACTGGAGATTTTAGCCTAGGCTCCTTAAACTCTAAAGACCATCATTTCAGGTTCAGGTTGAGGATTTTACTGTCCAAAATCAGACTTTCACTGGTATGTGCACGCCAGCGTATTATGTTTAATACAACCCCTCAATCCTCAAGCTAAATATGATCAAGATTCTTTCTCCTGTGCCTGTCTATTTCTTGCTGGCATCTAATCCCAGCTGTTATAGCTTCAATTATCAATTTGTTATATTGCAGTAATTCATGGATCTGAAAAGCTCAGGCTTTTTAAAAAAAGAGAGCGACACCAACCTTCAAGAAAGTTTTTAATAATTTTAGTCTAATTTTACGTCCTAGGCAGCACAGTGCATTTTCAATCTTAGCATATTTTCTTAAAAAACAAAACAGTGAGGTGTCGTTCATATACCATGAAATTCACTTATTTAAAATGTACAACTCTGTGATTTTAGTATATTCAGAGTTGTACAACCATCACCACAAGCTAAGTTTAGAGCATGTTCATCATGCCCAAAAGAAACCCTGTACCCATTAACAGTCATTCTCTAGCTTGTCCTGCCAGAGACCCTGGCAATCACTAATGTGTTCCTCTCCATGGACTGGCTCACCATTTCCTGTAGATGTAATGCTACAAGATGTGGTCATCTGTAGCTCACGTCTTTCTCTTTTTCTATTGTTTAAAAAGTCAATCTATTCAACCCCAGCATTTTTCTTAGTTGTTCTTTTCTAATCCTTTTGATAAATCAAACTTGTGGCCTTTTAAACTTCAAATCCTGAATCCCCACCTTACTACCCCTCCAAAAATACAGTTTACGTGCTATTTCCCTCCAGAAAACCTAAACTATAATTTGCTTTCAAAAGTTCTTATTCTGGGTTCTCCTTCTGGTAGGTAATAAAACACTAACTTCTTTAAATACCAACATTTTGCATACCACTGGTCCTCTGACAATAGGATGTAACTGTGCCCTGGGCAGAAAGATGACTAAATTCTTTTTAGAAGATGGCCACAAGTTTAGAGTGCGTGTTGATTTTCGAAAAAGAAAACAGCCATCAGATTATCTGGCTGCCACTCCTAACTCCCAGACTCCCTTATTTAGACGGTCTGCTCACATTCTCCTGCAACAAACCTCTGCAGGATTGCCTCTGCTTCATGAAACTTCCACACTGCCCAATTGATAAAACTACCCCACTGCAGCCACACTAGGAGGAATCCCCAATTCCTGAACACAATACCAGCAAGTGATGTTGCAAAGCTGCACTAACCTACAGCTCAAAAGAATCGGTCTCTGGCAGGACTCAGTCGCCTACTCTTGCCTTAAGTGGTCTAGGACCTTTTAGGCTAAAACCCGAATTAGTGTTCTTATGTGTCACTTAACCCCTCAGAGCTACGAAGAGGGAAGGGCACAGATAGTGCCATAGGACTCCAAATGCCCTCATAAGGGATTTAGGGTGCTTTCTAGCCACCCATCACGTTTGAAGGAACTGAGCATCTTTAAAGAAGCATCAAGGGATTAAGAACAACATACCGTTTCCCTTCCAGTCTGTGTTCTTAAGAAAGCACCACCTTTGACAAAGAATACTCAAACACCAGGCTCTGCCTTGTTTTTAAATGCCCGAGTCCTGCTCGGAGAAGAAAGGCCATCGCTGCTTTGAATTTCAGAACTTCTAATATTAAATAAAAGTAGAGAAAGTACACGGTTCAATAGTATGCCACAGTAAAATTAGTTCTCCGATGTCTTCTAAACCATATTTAGCTTTTAAAGGCTAGAAACCCTTCCCGGTTCCCCAACACCATCTAAGCGCCTGAGCAGAACAGAGCCGGAAGCCTTCACCCAATACAGTATGCTCAAAGTTTGGAAAACAAAGAACAGGAGAGCCCACATTTGTGGAAGGTCGGCCCCAGCCTGTGCCTCACTCTAGGCAGTAAACAGCTAGCTCTGTAAAGATCTGCTCTTACTCCACCGTGAACTCGTTTCTTAAAAGACGTTTAAGAAGGATTTGTTTATAGAAACAGCCTTTGTGAACTACCCCTGCGGTGGGGCCGCACAGTCTGCACTGCCTCCAGTTTCTCCCCCTCACTCGCTCAAGGCTCAGTCGTGATTCTTCCAAGTTCATAGGCACCACCTGCATACCCTTAATGCACATTACTCACCAGTACGCCCTCACCTCCCCGGGCCCAGCTCGGGGACTGCATTCAAACTTTTAATCGTGTTCAAATTACCATTTCCAAAGTACCAGTTTGCCACATTCTTGGTTTTTTTTGTTGTTTTGCCCCCTCCCCCGAACAACCCCCATCCCTGTCTCCAAACACGATAGAGTTCTGACTCCCAGCGACCGCCCCCCCCACCCCGCTTCCCTACCTACCCCTACCCGACACCACCAAAACAAAAGCTATCAGATTGCAAGCGATAGCGAGCGTGGAGAGATCCTGCTTATTAAGTATGTACAAAGGAAGTGCGGGGCGGGGGGTTGGCAGCGCTACACAACTCCGGCCACAACAAAACCAAGGCCAGGGCTCCGCGCTCGCAAAACAAAACACCCTCCCCTCCGCTGCCACACTACGGATCCTAGCGCAGCTTAAACCACCTTGCGTCACACCTCTCCCCAGTACCGGGGGCGCCCAGGTGTCCACGCGTGGTCGTGGGGCTGCGGCTGCGGCGACACACGCACTGCGAGCACGTGTGTGTGGAAATACATGACGGCTCCGACCGCTGGCCCATTCCTGCGCATGGGTTGATGCCCTACCACCCCTTAGACGCTTCAGGGAAGAGGGGGCGTCCAGGGCCGGGTAGAAACTAGGAGACGGACCCAGAAGCCTCCGGACTGGGGATCACTCGCCCCCCCACCCCCTCCCGAAGCGAGGCTGATGGAAGGTCGGGACCCCACGTTTCCCTAGGGAGAACCAGGGACCACTCCGTGCACCCCAGAGTCGCGCCAGGTGTCCCCGGGGCACCGAGAGGTGGCGGGACAGGGGTCTCGCCACCCATCGGGCTCAAGAGATGCAAAAGGCCAGGCACGCGGTGGGCCTAATGAGCCAAGCAAGTTGGGCGACAGGAGGCCGCAAGGCGATCTTGGGAAACGTGTCCTGGGGCCGCGGGGCCTCCCCACCCAGCACCTCGCCCTTCAAGGACAACTTGCACCCCGCGGGCCGGGCGGCTCCGACTCCCCGCCACCCGGCACCCACTCTACCCCAGCGGACACCCGCGGAGCGGCCCAGGGTGCTGTCACTTCTGCGCGCTGATTGGGATGGGTGCTGGGTGCGGAGCGCTCCCGGGAGGGGCGAGGTGAGGGCGGTGGGACCCCGGGGTCCACCCCGACGCCAACTTGCCCACCGAGTCCCCGCGCGTGGGCCCGCCACTGAACCGCCGGGGACCAAGCTCTGCTCACCCACCAGGACACGCGCGGGACAGCGCTCACGGGACAGCAAAACAGAAAACCCGGAGGCCCTTCCCGCGCACGATGGTGAGCCAGGGCCCGTGGGGGCCCCCGACCCACGAACTCGGGCCCTTCCGGGACAGCTACGACCGTGGCAACTGGGGTTTCACAAAACAGGGCGCAGCCCCTCGGAGGAAAAGTTCCCGCAGTGGCCGCGGGCGGCGGGCACATACTCACTTTCTCCACTCGTCGGCCAGAGCGAGAGCGCGGCGGAGAGAAACACGAGCCCCCACAGCGAGGTCGGGGACCCTCCTCCGGAGCCAGACTTCATTCCTTTGATTTGGGACGAAATTCCCTTTTCTCAAATAAAAAAAAAAAAAAAAAAAAAAAAAAAAAAAAAAAAAAAAAAGGAAAAGAAAATGAAAAGTCTCCAACTCAGTCCTCACGCTCTTTGCAAATGAAAGCGCGAAGTCGACGACCCTCGGAAGGCGCTACCGGCCGGCCCCGCGCGCGGGAGACCCTCAGCGCCTGCAGCTGCGGCCCACGGCGCGGCGGAGTCGGGAAGCTGAGGCGCGCCGGGGCGGGCTGTCGGCGTCGTCGGCCTCCATTTGCAAACCCAGAGAAGCAGGAGAGGGGGTGAAAACTGCAAAGAAACAGTAGCGAAGCCCCGATCGCCTCGGACGAGGACCGACGCCTCCCGACCCCCAGAGCGAACAGACACCCCTCGGACGCCCGAGCCCGGGCGGCGGGAGAGCACAACGCCTCTCCCGAAGTCTGGCCCGAAGTCCGGGGCGCGGGCTAGACCGGCGAGGGGCAGAATGCGGAGTGGAAATGAATGAGCGGCTCCCCCTCCTCCGGCTCCTCCCGCTCCTCCTCCTCCTCCGGGCTCCGCTCGCCGCCGCCTCCTCCCTCAGCGCCGCTGCCGCGAGCTGCTTCCCAAATCCAGGACACACAAAGCGGCGGGCCGGCCGCGCCGCGCTCAGAGCTCCGGCCGCTCCGCCCCGGCTCCCGCCGCCGGCTCCGGGCGCGGGGCTCCGGCTCGCTGAAGGTCACGGGCGCGGCGCGTCGTGGAGCTGTCCCTGGCGCGGGAGGGGCGTGGAGGGTCCGCGAGCGCCGGGCGGGCGCACGGGGACAGGTTCGCTGGTGGCGTCCGTGTGGCTCCTCGCCTCTCTCGAGTTCGCCTGGTGCGCTCGCTCCTCCTCAGCTTTTTTCTCCAACCCCCCCCCTTTTTTTTTTCCTGCTCAGCAGAGTTAACGCTGGTAAACAGCCTCAACCTCGCCGCGCCGCCGCTGCCACACACTGGGGGCTCTGCGCGCGCGCTCTCGGGGCCGCGCACACGTGCCCGCGCGCACACTCCAGGCCACCACAGCCGCAGCCTGGGCGCGCGGAGGGCTGGGCTCCGGCTCGGCGCACGCCAAGAGCCGGAGACTGGGATCGCTGGGACGTGCGGAGCGGAGTCCGGGCGTGGGGCGCTCGGCTAGGGAGGCACCGCCCCCGCGTCCCCACCCGCGCGCTCCCCAAGCCACTCGCGCGCGCCCACGCCCCCGCCCCCACCCGCAGTGCGCTGGCCTGCCCGGCACACACCCTCCCTTTTCGCAGGACTCCCAAAAAGCAATGCCCCGGGCGCCGGAGGGACTGGGCGGCCGGGGAGGCGGTGGCGGCGGCGGCGGCGGCGGCGGGGCGGGCGTGGTGGGCGGGGAGTGCGGGTCCCCAGCTTCCTTGAAAACAACAGCGCGGCTGCAGAGCGCGTCCGCCCGCTCGGCGAAAAGCTTCATTGTTTCTTGCAGCTGCTGCAAAATAAATAAGTGCATGCATGCATGCGGCATTTTTTCGCCGCGTGGTGGAAAGGCCGGACGTGGCGGGAGGGGCACACCTGGGAGAAAGGGGACCCCTGAAGACTGTTACGCGGTGCACTTTCCACGCCAGGCTGGGGCGCCCGTGGCGGCGCTGCCCCGGAGTCCCCCGGACTCGCGGGAGAAGGGCGCGGCTCGCGTGGCTCGGGTCAGGGCCCCGAGCGCTGCGATCCCTTCGCGGGCCCCCGAGTCCCGGAAGGGGGATCCAGACAGGCGGCCCCGCGTGCCCAGGGCGGGTCTCCCCGGCGGCCGCCAGAGGGCGCGGCGCACGCCTGGGAAGGCTCGCTAGCAGAGTGTCGCCTCCCTCCCTCCCTCCGGGAGAGGAAATATGGGGGCCCCGAGATGGGGATCGGCTCGGCTGGGTGGTGCTGGCCAGGCCTCCCCCGTCTCCGTCCCGCGCCGCCCACCCGCAGAGCTCTTGCATCACCCTGTTCCGGCCTCCACCACGTGGGCGCCTGTGGGGAGCGACCGCAGCGCGTGCGGGGACCTGGGGCTGGGGGGCGTGTCCGAGGGGCTCCCGGGAAGGAAGGGCAGGCGGGGACCCTGAACCGAACGCGTCGCCTGGCTCCGATCCCAACCTAAGAATCTGCCGCACTCTGCCCGGATCCGCAGCCACTGCGGAATCCCACCCGCACCTGCCTCAGGTCTCCGCTCCCACCCCGCATGTCCCTCATGCTTCGTTTGATCCGTAAGGGACTAGAAACTACAGCAGCTCAAGTCTCCTCTGTGGTTTTCTCTAATGTGCCAGAGAGGTTTCCCGAAGACGAGGCTTCCCTAGGACTGCCATCTAAAGAACAAACGCTGCGGAGGCCAGGTCTTCAAAGGGGGAGAAGCCAGGCATGGCTGGAGAGAAGAATTTGAAATACGTGGACTTTTAAAAACAGTGATTGGACCACGTGTCGCCCTTAATGTGGTGGGGCTTCATGACTCAGGCTAATTGATACCCATGGTAAATAAAATGGCTCATAAGAGTTGTGAATGTCTACAGCACATAGAAGTGTTTGTCTCGTAAACACTCAGGCTGTCTTGGTGGAGAGGACCGGTTCTTGAAGGAAAGAAAGCTTTCTTTCATTACTCAGATAGTAAAAGATTTCGGCACTGCACTTATGTGCCCCGTTTTTCATAAGGTTTTTGTTTTTTATTAAATTAAGAGCTGAAAACGAATCAAAAGCTATCATAAAGGAACTAAGCCAATTTTTTTCTGTATTGTCTGGATCAGTTTTTCCTTCAGTTAATTTTGGGCTACAGTTTATGAATCAGTTGTATAGAAAGAAGTCTTTTTTATGAGAATTGTACAATAAGATTGTATTGTATAGCTGAAACTTGCCTTAATTTTTAAATAAAATGTTCCAATTTTAGATGCTCCTGGACATTAAGAAAAAAGTATATTAGAATCTTAAATTTAGCATGCATCATTTAAAAAGGCACCACACATACATAATAGAAAAAAATAAATCTAATTTTAAAATGTTTCTTCAGAGAGTTTCTTGCATGAGGGGCCTTAATGCCTGAAGCTCCAGCCTGACACAGTGCATAATAATTTAAGTACAAAAGAATCATATTAGATTTGGTTTCAGAATTTTTTAATGCATACGTGTAGATTAAGACAAAAGTTTAGAAGTGATTTTTAGAAAGTTTGTAACATAGAAATCTTTAAATTCTATTCAATACCTTTAGTATAGTTATGAAAATGCTTTCTCGTTCCTTCCTGAGAACATGAGTATAGAAGAAAGAGAAATGACTAAGATGGGGTACATATAATTTGTAGGGATTATGGAGGTTTGTTTTAGTGTCTTTGGTTGTTTTTTTTTTTTTTTTTCACCAAAATGAAATTTTACCTGTGAAATTGTAAAATTTTTTCCTAAAATAATAGGAAGCCAATGAGATTAATAGTTTTAGACAGTGAAGTTACATGCTTAGTATTTGGAAAGTAATATAAGATGAAACTTGGTCTTTGGCTCTAATGGCATTAAAATGATGAAGCTGATTTTCCCTTCCTTTAGTGATTACCTTCTGCCTACCCAATCAAACATATTTTTTAACCCTGGAGTTAAAATCAGACCAGCTTTAAGCCACATACAGGGTGCATCACACTTTCTGTTTTCCACCATTTTCCGCAGGTCTCTTACATATTCTTTTGGAGTAGAATTAGTTTATTGTTTCAGTTTTGCTTGATGACAGGTTTAGACTTAATTATGCTGCTGGATGTGCCAGATAATATATTATGAAGATGTAATATATATTCAGTGAAAGCATGAGATACAGCCCAGATAACCACTGACAAGTATTATAGGTAATGAGGTATATTGTGATGTGTTTCCAGAATGAAATATTATTCAGCAGCAAGTGAATAAACTACAGACTCATATTTCACAGGGAGACCTTCGAGACACAATGTTGAAGAAAATACACAAGTTCCAAAAAGCTATACACAGCATGGCACCGTTGTGATAATGCTCTTGAATGCAAAGGAAACTTTTAAAAAATTATGAAGAGTCTTTGAGAGCAAGAGAATTCAATACATGGTAAGATGTAGACATGTCTAGAGATGATTGAATGAAGGGTGTTGCTCTTGGAGGAAACGAGAATTCCTTAAACTAAACACATGCAAAGTTCTTGGAAATGTGGAGGAGTTAAAAACTCCATTTTATAACTATGCTTTATAACAAACATGTTTCACGTGTTTTTGCATATGCTGAATATTAAAGACAACAATGAAGGAAATTATGTGAGAGGTCTATGAAAGAGATCATTCAAATTTTCCAGTATGAATTTTTTAGATTTTAATTTATTGTACAAACAACTCAGAAAAAAAAATTTTTTTTTTTTTTTTGGTTTTTTTGAGACAGGGTCTCCCTGTAGCTCCAGCTGCCTGGAATCACTCTGTAGACCAGGCTGGCCTTGAACTCATAGAGGATCCACCTGCCTCTGGGCAGGGATTAAAGGCGTGTGCCACCATGCCCAGCAAAAATATTTTTAAATACTAAAATGATGTAGGTAATCTTATACTGAAGAATACGTTTCAGGAGAGTGTTTGCCCATATTATATCAATTCAGTTTCAGACAAAAATCATAAAACAAAATAAAAGAATCCACCTCATAGGGTAATCAGGTTCATTAATGAAACAAATTGTATAAAGTGGCAGTTTACTTTAAAAGGTTAAACCTACGCCTAACTTAGATTCTAGCAATTCTACCCTTAGCTTTTACCCAAAAAACAAATATGTTCACAAAAAATACCTGTATGGCAATGCTGACAGATGCTTTATTCATCATATTGAAAATCTGGAAACAGCCCAAATGTACCTCAGAAGGAGACTGGATAAATAAACCATCCAACACAATACTACCCAGCAATGAAAAGGAGCTAACTGCTAATCCATGTGAAAACATGGATGGGTCTCAAAAGCAGGATGTATAAGCCAGACACAAAAGAGTACATACTGTATTAAACCATTCATATGAAATCCAGGAACAGGCAAATTTGATCTACGGAACCCAAACCAAAATTAGTCTCAGGGTTA